GGGGGGTGGGGGGGTGGAGATGAGGCCGAGAAGGGATTAATTCCTCCTCCCCCCCCTTTTCCTCTTCCTCCTCCACCAGCAGCATCTAATCTCTGCTCGTGCTTCGAGGTCTGACCCCGGTTGGATCAAGGACCAGGATAACCTTGGCCAAACTGGGAAGGATTTGTCCCGGCGCTCCCTAAAATCAGGGACCTTGATCCGGAGAGTCAAAAATGGCCTTTTTTGGGTATTTTGAAGGGTTTTTTTTTAAGGATTAATATCCAACGGCCTCCAGGGGTGTCAGCAGGAGGAGGGTGAGGGATGCTGGGGGCATGCGGCTGGGGAGGGTTTAGGGGTCCCTCTGTACCCCCTGTTCCGATCCGATAGTGGGGAGGGTTTTTAAGCAATCCCAAGAGTGAGATTAAACAGAAACAAGGTCAGATGCCATCCCACCTTGTGAACTTTATTGTACACGCAACTGGTAATAGCGATAGGACAGAGAGAAAAAGGAAAAAATCAGATTCCCTAAGCAAGAAAACAGTAGAGATGCAGCAAGATTGATTACCACCACCACGAATCCAGTGATGTACCCTTGGCTCGGTCTTGGTGCAGGTGATGGTGCTTCAAGAGTGGTGACAAGAGTGAGAGAGTCTGAGAGAGGAGTACACAGACCTTTTATTGTCCCAGTCCCGACGATTTTCCCGAAAAGTCCGCCCATTTCCACGGGGCTCACTGTAATAGGCGCAGCCTCAAGGTCCCCCATGCGCACATGCTCACCATCACGGTGGTCGTGCCAGCCTGTACATCTTCCTCACCTCAGTTTAACTTTGGGTGGATATCGTGGTTTTGTCAAGGACTGTTCCTCTTCTCCAGAGTGTACTTCTCCATGTCGACAAGATGTTGAGGCCAGGAAGTGGCGGTGGTGCGATGGCAATGATTGAGGCATACAGTCCAACACAGTCCTTACACCACCCTGTGCCTCAACATTGCTGTCTTTGTGGTGGTGTGAAAGATAACGGTACAGAGAGAAGAGAGAGAGAGAGAAAGGCCAGAAATAGCTCACAATACAGTAACAGACAAAATTTCCAGCAAATTTTCCATCAATAAACATGGCCTTAACAATATCTTTAACAAATATAAACAGCTTTAGCTAACAAACATATAACTAATAACATCTTTAACAGATATATCATGCTTAAAACTAACTTTATAGAACCAAAACATCATATAAACCAATTTTAAGGCTCTGACAAATCAGCAGCAGTATGTGACAGCAGTTTACATGGTTGACATTCACAGGGGCAAAAAAGTATTGCAAGAACAAGGAAGAATATTATTGCTATGAAGTGAATTGAGATTATTGCCAACATATTCCCGTGATTCTTAACAAAATACCACAAAGTGTCTGAGGCCCTGGTTGTCCATGCGATCTGCTGCTCTGGTCTGCTGGGGTTGGGGTCAGCATGTGCGGTGGGAAAATCCCTTCCCACACCCCCTTTATCCTAAAGCACATGTGTCATTTGGGCCTAGAAACTTCTATCCCAGATTTAAACCAAAACAAACAATACCAGTATTTGTAGCAACCTTAACAATATTCTAAACAAACATATAAAAAGGTAACAGTAACGCTACCAATTCAAGTCTTTTAACCAAACATACTTAAACAAAATGCATCCCAGGCCCAGCCGAGGGATGTGCTCCTGGTCTTTGGGGACAGGGAGAGGAGGAGGTAGTTGTTATGTGTGGTTCAGGCCTAAAAGCATCTATCCTAAATTCAGACAAAGACAAATGAATAGTTTAAATAATTGATACAGAGGCAGATTTTGATTGGCGAACGACACGAATCTGCTTTACACCAGCAGGTGAGGCGGTGGATATGAATTACGTGTTGGATGCAACATGTTGGATTAGCTGGATAAAGCAAGGAATAATACAGGGCAAAAACATCAAAGCAGCAAATGCACATAACAGATAAAATCAAAGCTGTTTTACCCATGGTGCTCCGGGTAACCAAGACCAGCAATCACACTCCAGCCATTCCACGTTTGAACAGGGACATGGGCCAGTTTCCTCATGTCTGTGGTCAGTTGAAGGACTACTACATTGTCTATTTCCAAACAACCATTAGAGACTTTTAGCTTTCTACATACTCCTCCCTCTTCAGTTATTAGATAATCCAAAACCATACGATGTTGAAGGATTGCAGTGCGCATCTGTTGAGATCGTGAGTTACAAGGTCTACAGCATTAGCAGTTTTGTTGGTAATAATTTCTAAGACTGCTTGTAGTCGAATTATACGGTTCAAATTATAAATCGGTTCTCTTGCCCCTGATATTGATTCATTGGGATTCCAAGTGGCAGGCCCATAATGCTCAATTATTCTTTTGGGAGGCCACTCATTTTCCCCCCACTTTTGAGTTTCACCTATTTTAAACCCAACAGATCGCTTGTTGCGGACAATCCTTTTGTTCCCTAACTTATCATATAGTCTTATTCCCAAATGAGGATCACCTGCCTCTGGGAGAAGGAAAAACAGAGGTCGGATAATCCCTATATAACAAATCCCTGACCAGTTTGCTTGTAGTTGTTTATAGGCAGTATGTCCACAAATCCAATAATGGCCTTTTTGGGCTTTGGCACCTTTAGCAAATGGTCCAGCTGCAGCCTTTGGGAATTGGAAATAAGTTGTGTTTTCATTTCCCAAAGGTCTGAAAAAGCTGTTTGGGCTATTGCTTGTCTGGCCAGTACAATACCAGGCACCAGTGTAGTTCTTCCACTGGCAAATTTGATGGTAAAAGTAGTTTCATTTTGGCATATAAGGTTTCATTTTTGTTTGACCAAAACCCTTTAAACCTTTTGTTTTGTCCGGTTCCATCAAGCCACATCCATATGTAAACACCTCTGTCTTTGTTAATCAATTTATGTGTGAGTGTCCATTGACACCTGCTTTCCCCCACATTGACTCCTCCCTTCTGGGTGCGATTTAAGCAATATTGACGCATAGTAGAAAATCGGATTGGCTATGTTCCACTATCATCCCGGGTGCTGTTATCAGTTTCACTATATTTGCTTACAATTTGTGCTGGAGTGAGGGGTGCAGAGACCCATGGCCATCTTGATAATCCTAGAGATCCTCCACAGACCCAACAGTGACTTAGATTAAAGGTTTGGCTTACAGCTTTTGCTAACAAAACAAATTCATTATCCTCAAGGGGGTCATACGGGTTGCGGGGAGGTGGGAGAATTGGCTTCCCTTCACTCTTATAGGTAAATTCCCAAAATACTATAACAAAAATTAACATACACATCCTAACCAAATTACACTAAAATCTGTGTCTGCTTCACTTCTGTGGGTGCGTCTGAGTCACCTGCTTCCTCCTGAAAGTGAAACAAAAAAATCAAATTTGCTTCTCGGGTTAGAAAGAGCGAACAATCCATCTAGTGTGAATCCTGTGAGTTTTCCCACAGGCATCGTTTGCTTTCCAGGTGTATTTATTAAGAGGTGTGTCCAACACCAGTGGCACTCTGCCCACTGTGGGGAGTTCAACCAAGACGGGTTGTCCTGGGAAATGGGATGGATTGCTGGGGTGGTCGGGACCATGTGGGGCTGGCATGATTGCTGGAGGTTTAGGACAGAATGCTGTGATCTTTGGGCATCCATTCACTCCCCAGCGACTGCTGACGCTGGTCACTGCATCCACACTCACTCAGCCCACCCTGGCTTTTGCGATTTGAGGGAGTGTTTTAGTAGACCATTTGTTCTTTCCACAATTCCATTCACTTGTGGATAATACGGAGTATGAAACACCCACGAAATTCCCTCCTGGGCTGCCCACTCTTGGACCATTTTGGCTGTGAAATGTGAGCTGTTATCTGATTGGATCGACTGTGGTTTGGGGAAAATTCCAAACCATTCTTTCAGAGCTTTTACTGTGTTTTCCCCTGTTGCTTTAGAACATGCTTTAGCCTGCACTAGCCCAGACACTCTCTACACCTACCAGTATATAGTACTTTCCTTCTGACTTTCGAAAGGGACCGATGTAATCGATCTGCCGGGCCTCCCATAGGTTTTTCTCTCTCTCAGGTGCAGGGGATCACCCCCAGCAGGTGTCTGTCCAGGCAGATGCGGCATTGCTCACAGGAAGACACACAAGTTTTACATTCTTCCCTGGCCACCCTCGGGCTTGTGCCTCACAATAGAGGGCCTTAACTCCTGAACGTTTCAGTTTGATGTGTAACCATCCTAACAGACTTTCCCAATTTTCTGCTATCTGGGTGCTTTGTAGGGCAGCTAGCCGGGCTAGTTCATCCACCTCGGCGTTCCATCGGTTCACTGGGGTATCATCCTGCTGATGAGATGTTACCCATGATACTGCAAGTTTCCCTTGTCTGGCAATGGTAAGGATATCCTGACATTTTTCCTTTTACCATACAGGTATTCTATTGACCTCCCACCCTTTTTGTTCCCAGAATGGAAGCCATATTCAGTGCAACCTTTGAACACAGCAGAAGAGTCAGTATAGATATAGACAGAAGAAGCAGACTGAGCCTTGCTTTGGAAAATGCTCCACACAGCAATTAGTTCTCCTACTTGTGTGCTACCTTCTCCTTCGGTAGTGATCTGTTCCTTGGTGTCTATCCGAAGTGCCACAGCTCGGTATTTCCAAATTTTTCCCTCTCGCTTTGATGATGCATCCATAAACCAGATATTTTGCAATTGTTCTGAAAATGAGGAGCTACTTGTATTACAGACCAAAGCCCGGGTGTTTCCCTACTCGGGTCTACCTCATCCTGTATATTTAACACTTTTGTGACTCCTTCAGTTACAGAAAAGATTTCACAACAGTGTTCTATTTGTGCATACCATTTTGCACAGAGGCTCTCTGGGCCCCCCTGTCAGGGGGTAGAGTTCCTGCCCAAACTGCTTTGATCACTTTAAACGGGCCT